CACTGTTCTATGTGACGGGAGGTTTCTAGTCCTGATGGAACCCGCAGTCCTCCTGCCTAAGGGGAGTAGTTGGAATAGTCCATTGCAGTGGTGAGCGGGGTCGGCTGTGATGACGACCAGAATGCCCGGCCTCGAAGCTCAGGGCGAACGTTACAGGTCCTGCAGCGATGGAAGGCTGCGGCAATCACTTCTCTGCAGTAGCGCACAATGCGCTGTAGGTCTCTTTGTCCTGACTGTTGCCATCCACGAACCCCACGGGACGGAAGGAGGTGAGGATGACTCGATGATGGCCGTGTAGAACTGCACAACATATGTGCACCGGGGCTGCATGGCTTTCCTGAGCTGCTGCAGGAAGGTACATCCTCTCTGGCCTATCTTGATGAGGGAGCTGATGGTCAGCTCCCACTATGATGTTCCTGGGTGAGGTGGTCGCCCAGGGAAACGGAAGGGGAGAGTCCATACACGTGACGGTTGGGGCCGGGGGGCCAGTGCTATTCCTGAAGTCCCACAATCATCTCCACAGTCTTCTGGGACGTTCAGCTCCAGGTTGTGAACCACTGCACAGCCAATGACACCACGCCGTCCACCTCCCTCCTGGTAAGGCGTACTCATCGTTCTTGGAGATGAGTCCAATGATGGAGGTGTCATCCGCGAACTTGAGCAGCTTCACCAGCGTCCGTGCTGGAGGTGCAGTGGTTGGTGTAACAGGGATAAAGAGCAGGGGAGAAAGAACACAGCCCTGGGGCTCCTGTATTTATAATGGCCGAGAGTCCCGAGAACATTGTCCCCAACGCCCCTCCTGCTTCCTGTCTGTCAGGAAGTCATGATCCACCTCAGTTGGAGCAACGGGACGATTGAACTGGGAGAGCTTGTCCTGGAGCAGGGATGGCAGGATCGGTTGAAGGCAGAGCTTAAGTCCACAACAGGACCCTGGCGTAGGTCCCCGGGAACCAGTGCGTAGGATGTGGTGGAGGGCCAGGTTTGATGGCGTTGTCCTACAGATCTGTTGGCTCGTAGGCGAACTGCAAGGGGTCCAAGAGGGGGGAGGTAGGGACTTGAGATGGAGAGGACTCAGGCCGTTCAAATGACTTCCATGAACGACAGACCGTAAGTGCTACATGTCTGTAGTCATATGGAGTCCTGTGATCCTGGCTTCTTCGGGACGGGGGCAATGATGAGGAATTTGAAGCAGGCCGGGACATGGAAGGACTGCCGAGAGGAGAGTTGGGAAAAATGCAGTGAACACAGGGAGTTAGCTCACTCGCGCAGGTGTCTCAAGTGGCGGGAGACACGTGGTCCGGCCGGAGCTTTGCGGTGTGCAGCCAAGAAGAGTTGTTTTACTATCTCTGTGTGCCGGGACTTTGGCGGCTTTCAGTTCGTAATCCCTGAACTGATATTTAGCTGCTTAGTAGCCGGCTGGCGGTCCCCCTCCCTGAAAGAGCCGACAAAACATGGGCATCCATCCACCTTACAGGCCAACCTTAGCCGTCTATACGGCCCAGGACATAGGCTCTCCACCGTCGCTGCCCGGGTGTGGCTTAGCACGGTGGGGGGTGAGGATCCTTCCACTGCCAGTGTTATTCCTGCATGCTGTCACCCACCTGCTAAGTGATAGGCAAAGGAAAAGGAAGAACGCCCTACACCGCAATGATGCGCATGAATAAAGACACGATTTAACTGAACTTGAAACTGACATTGAAAATGTTCCAAAAGTTACATGACCACAACTGTGTCCTCTTCCAGCGCTTTCCGGGCATCAAGATCAAAAGTTTTGTTCAAATTTTTTCAAGAAACCGTAACCGTAATATTTTGCTTGTAATGTTGATGTTGTAATAGGACATAAAGCCATCACTTTATCCATCAGGCTGAAAGGAGTGGAGCTCAGACAACTGCAAATGGCGACTCCAATTTTTGGCTTTGGTTACACCCATTTCCCCCCTCGCAGAAAGACGTTGCCTAAAACCCGTTACCGGTGATCCAACGATTTTTCAGGCGGTTCAGGACTCTTTAACTCATCAGCCACTAGCTTTGCTTGGACAACCCCTGGTACTTCAAGTGGCACCTCCCTCCGCAGCCAACATCACCAAGGCAGGGACTCCTCCTCACCACGCCCTTACCTATCTCTATAACAGTAAGTAAAGATCGGTAACCTCCTCCGCATGGAGGGGCTTTCAACTAAGTTATTTCACGACCTACAAAACAAAATGAGAGTTCAAGTTGTTCCCCGTCCCAACTGAACCACTTCCGTCCTCCCAAAACAGAGATGAACTGTGACAATTCCTGCACCACCGAGTTACGCTGTAACAGAACGCAAAGGATACACAACAGGAATAGCACGTGCTTGACAACAGTCAGTAATTCTGTAATTGTATGTGACTTTTATTTAGGACTCCCCTTGAAAAAGAGGTCCTTAATCTCAATGGGACTTTCCTGGTTACAATAAGTAAAAAAAATATAATCAAATATAAAAAATAATAAATATATACTATATAAAAAATAATTAATATTAGGGCTCGTTCCAAATATATCGCGTTTAATTCACGTTAATTAACCGGGTTTTCATTAAACGCGTAAAAAAATAGAACGCAGTTAACTGCCATTGACGTGTAAACTCTTGTTGGTTGTACCCAAAAGTAAAGGTTTTTGTGAGCAAGTCAAACAGACTTATACAAGGCTCGGGAAGACCTGCCGTCACAGATAACTAGAACTCAAGAGCCAATGGAGAGTTCCAGGAACAAAATTCAAATGGTATGACAACGAAAACTCATAGAGAGGGCGCCACACATGACGCGATTAGGCTCAAAGTGAGATTTTAACTAATTTTGAGAAAAGGTTCAATATATGGCCAGGACATGTAGGGGAGCACTATAGGAAACATATTTAGCATGTATAAGTAATAGGAAAAAGTTGATTTGGTGTTTAGTTACTCTTTAAGTCCATTTGGTATGAATACCAAAAAGTGTCATTACATGTGAAAATCTCATGTAACTTCAATTGGAGTTGATTTGAAATAGAATGTTAAAAAATGCCGATTATCGTGAGTTAACTCACCATTAATATGGTTCGATTAATCACTAAAAAAATTAATCGTTTTACAACAGCCCTAATCATATATATATATAATAAATATATATATATACTATAATAAAATAAATATGGTATTTTTTATCTTTTGGCATACCACTAGCGGGAGTCCCCCCGAGTTCCAAGTGTTTTACGCGTACCAACACATTGGAGAATCACTGAACACGTCAATACAGACAGACAGACTGACATATACAGAACAGACCAAAAGTTTGGATGCTTTGGCATATCAATGAGTTGTAGATTCACTCTCAGCCTGTGTAAGGCTAGTGACACGGCCTCCACATCACCAGAACTGTGAGGCAATCCAGAATGGTGTTTGTGCGATGAGGGTGGACCCACAGAGTGAAGGTGAAAGGGCCAACAAATGCTAAGCTTCTCAGATCTCCTTCTAAGACTGTTGGAAGACCTTTTCAATCATACCTCTGAAGCTCATCAAAGAGAATGCCAAGAGGTGGTGCCGAAGCAGTAATCAGAAGCAAAATAAGGTGCTACTTTGAAGAACTTAGAATAAAAACAATTTCAGATGTTCATACTTTTTTACTTAAGTACATAAAATAATATCCGACATGAGTTAAATTCATAGAGTTGATGCTTCAGTGGAATCTACAATTTTCATAGTTAAAAAAATGAAAATATGAAAAATAAAAACAAATCTTGAATGAGAAAGGTTGTCCAAAACTTTTTTATAACAGTTGTCAAATGCTTTCATTAGACTTCTCACCTCAGATGGAAGAGGAAACGTAAATATGTTATACACTTCTAGAGACAACCAACCATATCACAGCTACTAAGTGGGGGGTGGGGGTACAAAAAGTCTTAAGCATATAGCTTAAAACATACTTGTAAAAAAAAACTTAAAAGTTGGTCATTTTTTTTATTTTCTTTATTTCATTTTTTAGTTGTGTTGTATGTAATGTAAGCATCTCTGTATTGCAATCTCTTCAAAAGTTTTATTTGTCCAATCACATTGATTTAAACATTGTACTCTAAATAAAGTGTTGTGCTGAGACATGCCGTCCCTATTCCGAACAACACAACACAGACAACCAAGCACAATCCCAGCTACAAATCATATTTCACATTTATTTGAGAAGGTAAATTATAATTCTTTTTTTTTAAATCTCTTATATATTCTTGTCTAAATAATTTTCCCCAGTTACCAGAACGGAGGTGCCAAGTGTTCCTCCCAGTGCCACTCACACTCAGCCAGAAAGCAGCACTTACTCTACCCCTCACGAGACAAGGCCATCCCCCCAGCACTGTGCTCCCAAAGCTGTGGCACCCAAAGAAAACGCCCAACCACAAAACACCCAGCAGCAGCAGCGCGCACAGCAACATGGACTTTAAGAAACAGTCCCGGACACAGGCCTGTAGGTGAGCACATGAGTCACAGAGCAACCAGCCGGACATGTCCCAAAGTGAAGCAGAACTGCCACATGATGTGGTTATGTCGATTGGACTAGTATCAAGAGTGGGAATGACTCCAAGGAGTTACTGTTGGATTTTTTTGTATTCTAAAGTCTAACAAGAATCCCAAATATAAGTGATTCCTAATAAATAAATATAACTAAAATATCCAAACTTTGAAACCACAAAATTAATAAATCCATAGTTTATTGTTTCTCTCTCTCAAAACTCTTTACTTCCATTGATAGTTTTCACATGAATATTTTTTGGCCTCTTTCACACCTTTAACTTAGCTTTTTCAGTGAAAAAGAGAGTACTCTCTAAGCCAATCAGACTCTCTGTATGTAAAAGACAGCATTGTTTTCTATAGATGAAGACAGCCTGTTGTGTCTGATCTTTGTTTACACAAAATGTTACTTAAACAAGAATACTTGGGACCTATAAATAAAGGGTTTTGGGCAAAAAAGAAGAAATAGAGACATACACTATTAAATAGAGGTTTCCTTATGTTTGTGTGGCAGAACGCAGAGGAAGCGCAGCATCAGCCAGAGGCCTCCTCACAGCCCCCACACCCCACCTCCCCTCTGTGCAAGCCGCGCTGCAGAGCTCTGTACCAGTACATTGGTCAGGACACCGATGAGAATTCAGCTTCGAAGTCAATGACGTCCTTTGAACTGGCTCAAAGAAGGTAAGAAAGGTTTGACTACCATGGATTATCATAGTCAATTGGTTCAGAAAAAAAAATCTTCTTCAAAATTCTTTCAAATAAACTTATTTAAAAGGTTTGAAAATGTCAGTCAGTCAAATTGGTCAGCTTTGACAGGCAAAAGCCATGTTCCAAATGTAAATCGTTTGCAATAACTGAACGTACCACACCATGAATCATTCCCATTTAAGTCCATTAAGATTTCTCAATGGCAATGAAGAATTCACATTATTTAAAAGAGGAAGCTGTTCCAATCCAAGTACAAATCTATTTCTAGTCTGCTCCACTATGTTCACTTTGAAATAAAAGCTTTCAAGGCAAGGCAAGGCAAGGCAAGTTTATTTGTATAACACAATTCATACACAAGGCAACTCATAGTGCTGAACAAAATAAGAAAGCATTAAAAACATAAATAATCACAGAACATTAAAAAGAAAGAAAGATAAAAATCCCTCAGTTGTATGCACAGCTAAACAGCATTGTTTTTAACCTGGTTTTAAACATTGTCAGAGAGGAGGCCTGTCTCACATCTTCAGGAAGACTGTTCCAGATTTTAGCAGCATGAATCTGAAATGCAGCCTCCCCATGTTTAGTTCTGACTCTGGGCACTAACAGGAGTCCAGTCCCTGTGCTCCTCAGAGTCCGGGCTGGTTCATATGGTACTAACATGTCACTAATATATTTTGGTGCGAGGCCATGGAGAGATCTCCAAGTCTGCTTTAGACACTATGTTTTTGATCCTGGCAATGTTTTTAGATGGTAAAAAGCTGCTGATGTTACTGATTTGATGTGGCTATTAAAATTTAAGTCTGAGTCCAGTATTACCCCTAGATTTCTGACCTGGTTTGAAGGTTTTAGGGAGATATTACAAGCTTGTGGAAGTCAGAATCCTATTTGGCAATAAATAATGACTTGAATAAGTAAACCAAGATGTCAAGTATAAAAACTCTGGATTGTTGTGTAAGGTAGGGTGTTGTTTTGTTTAAATCCGTGTCTGCTTTTCACCAAGGGGAATGAAGGAACGCCTCAAGATAAAAGAGTCAAAATAAACTTTCAGACTTTGACTTTCAGTCTTCTGAAATCCCAGCGCAGTACAACCAGAACCAAAAACAACCAAGCAATATGAACATTTTAAGACAAGGACAACTTTATAAAAGAAATAGCAGAACGTGCAACGGACCAAACTTTGACGGCAAGACACAATATCATCTCCGTCTGGACATAGGACCCAAAAGATGTCGATCTAATTCTCTGGTCCCTTTTAAATGTAAGCCGAAAAAATAATACTAGCATCCAGATAATAATTCATTGGTTTAATACAGCGCTTTTTTGGACACTCAACCCCACTTCACATGTCAATATTCTTTCACTCCATACACAAAGGTGACCAACTACTACTGTAGCCACCGCTGCCCTGGGGCACACGGACAGAAGCGAGGCATGGTCCCCTCCAACCGTCACCATCCATTCACACACGCACCCGACTCATTCTAGGCAATGTGGGTGAAGTGTCTTCCACCAACAGGGACACACCAACAGTTTGGCACCTTACAGCCACAGCCGCCCCACTGTGGCACCTGGTGTTCCAAGAGGTCTCCCATCACAGAACGAAAAAGGCCCTGCCCTTCTTAGCTTCAGTGGTGTGACAGGATCTGGTTTTTACATGAAGGTATGGCCACGAAATATATGACTACTGTATGTTCACATTATCATGAAGAACAAGGAGAAAGTCTCAATAAGCGTTAAGTTATACAAGCATTTCCAAAGTCTTGAATATCTCACAGAGAGCACTGTTTCTGTGCATTATTCAAAAAAAACAAAAAAACAAAAAAGAGTATAGGGCACCACTGCAAATCAACCAACACGTAGCCAACCTCCCTCACCTCCCCTCTCTCAGTTCACACTGCTTTGCCTTTAACCTGTTTGTACACCGGAACGAGTATGGAACAACTGCAAATCGACCAATACTCGGCCCTCTTTCCCACGCATATCTATCGGATGACCTACAACAATATTCACCCCGAGTGGCACAACACAGCCCACCCCCCTCACTTCCCCCCTTTCCTACCCCTCTCAGAGTCCTCACTGCTTTGCCTTTAACCTGTCTGTACACTGGCCCTCTGCGGAACGGGCGCGCAGATAGGCAGCAGCTGTGAGTAATTGTTTCTCTCGGTCAGCCCGCCTCATCCTGGCCCTTTGGAGATAAGACCCCAGTAAATCTGCCTTGATGTCCCGCGCAGAGCACAGGGAGGGGAGGGGGACTACTGTTTGAACTGCTCCTTCAAGACCGTCGGCTTCAAATCACTTTTCCTCCCTCCAGAATAAAAGCGTTGGGAAATGGAAAGCACGCCAGCATTATTCGGGTGCTTGTGGCGCAGAGGAGTCGTGTCGTATTCGTATATAAGTGGGAGAGCTGGCCGTGGAGAGGGGCGGAGGAGTGGAAGAAAGATATGTGGCGTTTGTGAGGCGGGACGCACTGGTGTTTTTTGAAGGTCAATTTGATTCTTAAACAGCCAGGCAATGGAGACGTTCCAATGTGAGAGGTACTCTGGGGGGCATGGGGGAGGAGGGGGTGAACGCAAGGCGGAATCTCATTGCAGTTTCTCTTGTTATTTTATGTGCAAAATAGTCACTGTTATTAATTCAGGGTTTAGTCCATCAAATGGAATAGACTGGAAGGAATGTCTTTTGAGACATTTGAGATCTCTATATGAACAATAACATTTGTTCTTTTTCAAACCAACATTTCAATATAACAATCATTTATGGAGCATTCAGACAGACTCTAAAACATTCCTAATGACATTTCCTTTGTGTGTAGGTGTCGGTGTGTGAGTCTATGTTTTATATACAATACAGAACAAAAGTTTGGACACACTTTTTTTTTTTTTCATTATTAGGAAAATTGTAGATTCACACTGAAGGCATCAAAACTATGAATTACCTCATGTGGAATTATGTACATACTAAAAAAAGTATGAAACAACTGAAAATATGTTTTATATTCTAGGTAAAGTAGCCACCTTTTGCTCTGATTACTGTCTTGCACACTCTTGGCATTCTCTTGATGAGCTTGAAGAGGTAGTGACCTGAAATGGTGATGCTTAGCACTTGTTGGCCCTTTCACCTTCACTCTGTGGTTCAGCTCACCCCAAAACCATCTGGATTGGGTTCAGGTCCACTGACTGTGGAGGCCAGGTCATCAGGCCCAGCACCCACCACTCTCCTTATTTCTCAAATAGCCCTTACACTGCCTGGGTGTGAATAGTCCTGAAAAGAAAGGAAACTCATAGAATGAGAAAGTGTGTCCAAACTTTTGGTCTGTACTGTATATTTTCATTTTTGATGTATCTTATATTCTATGGCTGGGGTTGACATTAAGCTGTATTGTCCTTTTGCTCTTCTCACTATTACTGAATGCTGTATGTCTGATATTGTTAAATTGTTCAAAAAAAAACAATCCTAATTAAAGCCGCAAGCGGCGTCGAACGGCCCTCGCCGGACCGCGCGACTCCCCGCACCGCACGCACCACCCCGTGCCAAGCCACCCCGCACCACGCCTCCCTGCACCACGCCTCCCTGCACCACGCCGTCCCCCATCAAGCCGCCCCGCACCAAGCCGCACCAAGCCGCAACACGCCGTTCCACAACGCCCCGCACTACGCCGCACCACACCGTACCACGCAGCACTACGCAAAGGAGGTGGCGCCGCCGTGTGATGATTTGTTTCCGTAGCCATAGAAGATTGTTAGTCAAATTGTAAGGAATATGATAAGCAGAGCTGGTATGGCTCCCCATGTAAACTTTGACTCAGTCTTTAGGGGGCGCTAATGGGCCAATTTCAAATATTTCACTTTCACCTGACCTAAACCCTGGAGTTGAACAATGGATTCAAGTTTAATGCAAATCAGACTCTCTGTGCAGACGGGAAAAAAATGAATGTTGTCAAAAACGGCCAAAAAAACCCTCACATTTTGCCGCTTCGCTGCTCAAACAACGTTTCACTGATCAAAATTCCCTGAAGTCATTTTGAAGGTACATGTGTTGAGATAATTTGGAGCAATTTTGAGGCCAATCGGTGAAACGGCCGAGGAGGAGTCGCTTTCCAAGCGACATGTATGAAAATGATTGGTTTTCATGTTTCCATTTTGCAATGAAATTTATGAGCTTCCTGTTTGTCAGAGGGCTTAGCCATAATACAATTTTTTCCATGTCTTGACTTGAGGAACATGTGTACCAAATTACATGGTTCTACGGCAATTTTGACCTTGAACCCCTCCCATAGGCATTTTTAAATTGGCTGTTGTAGGTGGCGCTATAGAGCCAATTTCAAAATTTGGACTTTCAATTGACCTAGACTCAAGAGTTGAACCATGGATTCAAGTTTTGTGCCAATCACACTTTGTTTGTGCAAACGGAAAAAAATATTCTATTGTCAAAAACTGAAAAAAAATACACCACTTTTTGGCGCTCTGCTGCTCAAACAACGTTTCACTGATCAAAATTCCCTGAAGTCATTTTGATGGAACATATGTTGAAATGATGTGGAGCGATTTTGAGGCGAATCGGTGAAACGGCCGAGGCTGGTTTGATGTTTGTGTGAGGTGTACATTTGCAATGAATGGGGAGCGTTTGTCGTCGCCACGGCAACTGGGTTAAAAATAAGCCTTGGACCCAATTGACTTTTTGAATCAAGAGGGCAAAACAGATGTATGTGCAAAATTTCAAACATTTTGAAAAAACTAAATTTGAAAATGCCCATCTAAAACTTTGAAATAGTCTGTAGGGGGCGCTAATGTGTCAATTTGAATAAATTCACTTTCAAATGACCTAGACCCTAGAGTTGAACAATGTATTAAAGTTTTGTGCAAATCAGACTTTGTATGTGCAAACGGGAGCAAATTTAATGTTGTCAAAAACGGCCAAAAAAAGGTCACATTTTGCCGCTCCGCTGCTCGAACAATGTTTTACTGATCAAAAATCCCTGAGGTCATTTTGAAGGTACATGTGTTGAGATGATGTGGAGCGATTTTGAGGCGAATCGGTGAAACGGCCGAGGAAGAGTCGCTTTCCAACCGACATGTATGAAAACTTTAGCTGTTCATTTTTCCATTTTGCAGTGAAATTTATGGGCTTCCTGTTTGTCAGAGGGCGGGGCCATAATAATATTTTTTTCTTGTCTTGACTTGAGAAACATGTGTCAGTGTGAGACAGATGGATGTGTCCAGAGCAGTGTGAGACAGATGGATGTGTCCAGAGCAGTGTGAGACAGTGGAGAGACAGAGTGGAGGAGGAGGGTTTTCTCCATATGTTCATGTCAAATACAGGTAAATCACCATGTGTGCCGTTTTGTGTGTCCCTCATCCTCTTCATTGCCGTTTGGTCTAATTGATAGGACACAGCAGATACCAGAAAAATGCCTGACGGGATGGTGTGCAAAACAGGTGCTAGAAAAATTGAAAACCAGAAAAATTGATGCAAGACTTGTGTAAAAAAAAGAGGCTAGACCAGATGCCAGTAAAATATCCTATACCGTGAAGTTCCCCCAAATACCAGAAGGAAGAACTGATGTTACTCAACACATTTGCCACATTATGAATCTTTCAGAGAGGAGCTTTTAAACCTGATGAATTGCTCTCTTCAGACTGGGGTCTTTCCTGCAGCCTTCAAAGCGGCTGTGGTGAGACCCCTTCTGAAGAAGAGCAATTTGGATTTTAATGATTTTAACAACTACAGACCGGTATCCAACCTGCCATTTTTAAGCAAAATTTTAGAAAAACTTGTTTTTACCCAGCTCAATGCCTTTTTAGATCAGCAGCAAATTTTAGAGACATTTCAATCAGGATTTAGGGCGAACCACAGCACAGAGACTGCTCTTTTAAAGATTTTAAATGATTTTAGACTAAATTATGATTCTAAAAAGGTGACCGTGTTGGTTCTACTGGATCTTAGCACTGCCTTTGATACAGTAGACCACACCATTCTTTTATCACGCCTACAACACCTCGGCCTCTCTGGTGCTGTCCACAAATGGTTCACTTCTTATTTAACAGACAGATCCTTCATGGTGAGTTTGGATACCTGCTCCTCTCAGGTCCATAAAATCACATGTGGTGTGCCCCAGGGTTCCATTTTAGGTCCAGTCCTTTTTAACCTGTACATGCTCCCTCTTGGCGGTGTCATCAGGAGACATGGAATTAACTTCCACAGTTATGCAGATGATACACAGCTGTACATCTCCATGTCTCCTGACGACACCAGGCCAATGGATAGTCTTTTTAACTGCATTTTAGACCTGAAATCCTGGATGGCAGAAAACTTTCTCCAGCTCAACCAGGACAAAACTGAGGTTTTAGTCATCGGTCCTGAGGCCCAGAGAGAGACATTTTTACCGAAACTCCAATCACACTCTTTTAATCCATCATCACAAGTGAAAAATCTGGGCGTAATCTTTGACTCTGAGCTGACTTTTATTCCTCACATCAAGAACATCACAAAAATAGGTTTTTATCATTTAAAGAACATCGCCAGAGTCCGCCCCATTCTCTCTCGGGCCAACACGGAGACGCTGATGCATGCTTTTATCACCAGTCGCATTGACTACTGTAATGCCCTGCTCTCTGGTCTTCCCAAAAAGAACATTTCAGGTTTACAATTACTTCAAAACTCGGCCGCACGTGTCCTGACTAAGACCAGGGGGCGGGACCACATTACACCGGTTTTAAAATCGCTGCATTGGCTCCCCGTGTGTTTCAGGATCAATTTTAAGGTTCTTTTAATGGTTTTTAAATGTCTTAATGGTCTTGGGCCTTCTTATCTTTCAGAACTGCTTTTATCCTATGAACCTTCCCGGCCCCTGCGCTCCTCCGGCAGCAGACTCCTAACCATCCCCAAAGTCAGGACACACACTCACGGCGAGGCATCTTTCCAGCACTACGGCCCCCGTCTCTGGAACAGTCTGCCGGAGGAGCTCAGGGCCGCAGAGAACGTTCATATTTTTAAGAGTGGGCTCAAGACGCACCTTTTTAGAGTAGCTTTTGATTAGTATTTATTATCTATTATTGCTTTTTAGTACATCTATTTATGTTTTTAGACACATTCTATTTTTATTTATTTTTATCATTTACTATTTTTAATAATTTATTGTATCTACCCATTTACTATTGTTATTATCAATATTAGGCAGCTGCCATTTTTCTTTTTATTGTCACATTTTATTGTTCTACTTTCTATTGTATTATTGTATTGTTTTAGTGTCCCCAGTGTTTCCTCTGGAGGAGCCCTCTGCACTGAGGGCTGGGGTCTGCTGTGGCTTCGGGGGTCTG